CAGCTCAAGCTAGCATCAGCTGCGCGAGAGGCACGGTACAGTGATCGAGAAATGATGATGATGATCACGCACTACAAACCTGTCTTCTGCTAGCAAATAGGTGCATAGCTGTGACCACTGACAACACCACACCCTATGCCATCACACGCGCCCTTCCAACAAGTTGCGCTAAAGACGTCACCGATTTTCTTCTACTTTGACGTGATTTTGCAACATGGTGCTCCACGCCAGCTGCTCACGGGCCGAGGCCGCACATTTCTATCAAGAGTCATAGCGGACATCCTATGCTGATATGCAACGCGCCACAAGCTCACTACGTCGTACCAACTTAACCCTAACCGACATGCTTTCAAAGTACATTCCTCAGACCACTCTAACTGGGACCTCACTCCACCATACTTGACATTTCCGTACAATTCTTCACGCTATGACAGAACTGGTTACTCCCAATTTTTTCTGTTGTTCTGCCGCGAACCCACATTGCCCCGTGATGCTGTCATTTCGTTGCCAGCAGTTGCGACCATGGAATATGTCCTGGACGCCATCAACCGGACCGCCCACACACGTGAAGCTGCTCGTGCTCGCCTTCTGAGCTCCCAAGAAAATTAATGGCACCGTTATGATCAACCACTGAATTGGTGTCCAGTGATGGCAGAGGATGTGCACTTTTCACCCGGTTCGTTGGTTCTGCTGTCGTCTCCAACCAGGCACATTGGCCTGTCTGACAAACTGCTCTCTCCATACGCAGGGCCATACAGAGTGCTTCGTGCAGTGACTCCCGTCACTTATAAAATCACTCCTGCTACCTCATCGTCTTCATCCATTTTCGTGCCAGTGACATTGTACACGTCACACGCCTGAAGCAGTACCACTCGCCCAATGACGATGTCTAGATGCGTCGAGACGGCACCTTTGCCGACGAGGGTTCTGCTACATGTAGGATGCCGCAATGCGTATTGTCAATGCGCGTGCGTGCCTGACGAAAAGGATGAAGGTCACTTGCTGCTCGAGCTCAGAGCCAGACCGGCCAGCGCTGCAGCCGCTTTTGCATATACAATTTGTAAATACATTTGCAATATATTGACTCGTCACTAGCATAACAATATTATTATGATTGTGATGGCTTTAGTTACGGTGAGTTTAAACAAGCAGTACACAAAATATGGAGGACGGTGAGATGCTAGCAGTCAGGGGTTTCCCGAATCGAATTCAAATCAAGTAGTAGCCAAAAATATCAAATTTCAAATACAAAGTATTTCACTCAAAATGAAAAGAAAAACAAAGGAAGAAAATCTTCTCATGTCGTCAAGTGGATAACGCTGTGAGTAACTACTGCTAAAGGACTACAAATAGTCTTGTGGGAACACAATCAGTTTCACATGACAGAGTCTCGTGCCGTGTTTTTTCGTTGTTTTTATCAACTTAAATTATGCGCTCACTGGGCACTTGAATAGCAGGGATGGAATGGTATCGCACAGCAACTTCAGGGATACACAAATACAGTGCAGCTCCACGCATTGTGCTGCAGCTGTGGGGACCACACAGCATAAACAAATTTTTACAAATGAAGCCGGTTACTAGCAGTTTAGCAGGCTAAAGTCGAGACATTTTATGGTGCATGTGGCATACACTACCAAACTATGCAAGTCCTCCTAAGCATGCCATTGGCTTGTTAAACAGCAGCAATATTTTTTTTAAAGACTAGTACTCCACATTTGCAAAAAATGTAATGTAAAAAATACTGGATACATTGAGCTTAGCACTCACATTGCTTGAGTAGCGGAATGTTCCACAAGTTCTGATTTTCACATGTTGAAGAAATCTGAAAATGGCTTCAACAGTTGTCAGAACATAACGTTGCCTACTTACTTCAAATGGTCTGAGCAAATAACTACATATGTTCTTGATTTTGCATTAGTATCTGCTGTACCTCCCCGGTGGTCTAGTACTCTCCCATTTCCCTGTATCGCTGGTTAAGAAATGTTTCAGACTTATCGATGAGTCTTGCAGACTCCAAAGAGGGTATCGAAGAAGGAGCAAGCACTGACATGGTACACAAACATACATTACAACACAAAAGAGCACAAATGACACTAATAGTACAGCTACACAATCAGTACTCAAGCTTCTCTAAAGAGTGGAGTATAAACAAACTCTACTCTCAGACATTGGGGCTTGAGGATGCTCCCATGGCTACATTCCGTGCAAGTCTCTTCGACGAGAGGCAGCAGGCAGGATGTCACAGTTTCTTCTGTGAGAACCAGGAGCACAAGATGTGCTGCTTACTAAGTCTCTCGGGCATTGACACTCGACTAGGTATTCGGACATATGTCGGCCTCCCACGCATTGTCATCCGACCGTGCCAACACTTCTTTGCTCTAAATGCTGGCTCCATTTGCCTGGTCAGTGGGGAAGTGCCCCGACACCTGCATGATGACAAAGTGATGATGGACACATGCAAGCAGCGCACAGGAATAACAGTTTTGCCCTCGTAAACATTTTGCCTTGCTGCATGTGCACACATAGAGCAATGAAAGAAAAAAGAAAACAAAAAGAACAGGCCACACAGACTGGACAAATAGAGCCGAGGGCTGGAACAGACGTGGTGCCCTGGCCTGATTAAACAACATTCAGGCGGCCAACAATTTTCGAAGACCTGGTGCACCGTCAATGCCACAGAGACTTCACAAATGACAGGACCTCTGCTCTTGGTGTCCAGTGATGGCAGAGGAACCTGCGACATCCCACCTGCATCCCCTCGCTAAGTGAGCCTGTAAGCGACGTAACCACGGCAGCTTTTGCCATGGCCAAGCTGAAGAGGCACGTTGGCATTCTTTCCTACAGCCTTCGTTATTGCTTTGTACACAATGGGAGCCGTTCTCCACAAATAGTAGCGGTGTTCACGGCATTGGGTGCTTAAATCCTCATGCTCATTTTACCACTGTCCGAGCAACGCACTTCGTGCGATGGTAAACACCTTGGAACAGGCCCAACCATTTCGTGCTTGGTGCGTTGTTTTTGTCTCCTGGTCAGATTATGAAGGCCCGTGCTAGCATGCTAAAACCTGATGCACAGTGGCCTACGGTGCATCCATCATGACGTGGCGAAGATCCTGCAATGCGATCATGTGCTTGCCTTTGCTTCACGTGGGCGGCAGTGGGAGATGCAGTGGAACATTCACAGCTACAGTGCGGGTGTGTGGCGGGATGTGGAAATAGCTGCATTGGAAAGGCTGTAAGAAGGAACGCTTGCGCACCTCTCCAGATCGACCATGGTCATGCTTCGATGCGCGAGCGTAGCATGTGTGAACACGTTTGAGAAACTTTGTGCATTCTACAGTGCTTTGTATTAGTGTATTTTGTGTTGGAGGAGTATGTGTCTGTGTGCAGAGTCGGTGTTCACTTCTTCCTTGCTTCCCTCATTGCTGTCTCTGACAATCTTCAATAAACCTACTCCCCAGACCATTTCTTGCTATTCGAAGAGACTGTTTTTTAATATTCACCCTAGAGCAATGAAACTTGAGCTGTTTATGGAACTTTTTATGCTGATTTCAAATATATAATTAGTTTTCTTGCAAGTTGCCTACTTTCAGCTCTGCGAAATGACAAAGTGAAAACCTTAACCCTTTTGCCCCCCATCTTTTCATTCCTGAACTTCCGTAATTCTTTACCATTCATAGTTCATAATCTTTGAAATAAAGTGTAGAATGCCAGTAACTAATTAGGAAGCACATACAAAATATGTAATAGGCGTGAAAAATAATAGACGTAAAAAGTCTAACAGAAACCCAGCAACACATTGCAGAAGAAAAAAAATGCGAGGCCAAAATTTTCGTGACGGTATTCCTTTAAGCTTCCCTTCATTCTTGTCTCTTATTCTACTTCCATGTCTTTTTGCCTTTTTTGTGCTTAACTTTTGTAAAATTTTTAATGCTGATGGTTTACTATCTCTCGGAGACAGCACAGCCCTTTTTTTAATGATAGTGATTGACTGACTTGCCAAAGTGGCCTGCCGTTTATGCCATGACTAGCCTGTTAAGCTTAATCTCACTGCGTGACAGACCTATTCATCGTTCTGAACTGTCCTACCTAAATCATTCTTTAGTGTCATTCTTCAGTGTTTCCTCGGTGCCTTGTGGTCGTTGTCGTAGTTTGCACGCGAAAATATCATTTACAGCGAAAGCTGTTATGAGATCACAACTCGGGTCACGCGCAGTTGCTTGTTGTTCGCTGCCGGCAACCACATCGTGCAAAATTACAACAAAAAAAATTTGCACCAATGACATAGTGGGGCTTGAACCCGGGTCCGCTGTGTGCCAGCCCAATATTCTACCTCTGAGTTATGCCGGTGCTTGTAACTTGTTGTCAAACTTGCCTTACGCAGGCATGACCTAGCATCAATGGTGAAGTAAGGCTCGAACCTGGGTTCGTTGGGGCCAGCCCAGTATTCTACCACTAAGCTACTCGGGTGTTTGTGACTTGTTGTCAAACTTGCCTTAGGCAAGCTTGATGTCTGGAAGGCAATCGTGTTAATACGACTTATAAAGCATTTTACAACAGCGAAAGAACAACCAGTCATTGCACAATGCGATTAGCATAACGAGTGGGCCGTCCAATGTTCCAACCCATTACAAAGGCTTGTTCTTGTTTTCCTATTAACTGTGGCGCATACCCACTTCAGCGATAATTCCTAATCATCGTCAGCCACTGCATGGACACTTGGTACAATATTTCTAGCAAGTGTTTAGCGGATACCGCGCTTCTCAGAAGAATGACGAAAAATAGCATAGCGAATGCCGGCCTACTACCCAAGAGTTTATTATTAATGTCCTAGCGGGTACCAAGCAAGTGTACTTGCAGTGGTTACCCATTGAGTGTTTTGAAAAGGCTCTGAAAGGCCGCTCTTCTAGCTTTCGCTGTGACTGTGCTGCGCCTACCACACAGGCCTGGCGTTTTTGTGTTTTATTTTCTCCATGTTGATTGACTGTCCTTCTCATCTAGGCTGGGGTTCAAGATGGATTCAATTGGCTCCGAGCCTCTCCTGAACCTGCTGCGCAAGAACACGATAGAGACGTAGAATTTCCTGAAAAGTAGAGTACTCCTTATTCCCAATTTTTGTTGCTGTCCTTGTTTGTATCATCAGATGCATTTGTTGAGATCATTTTTAACATCATTGAGCAAATCAGTGTTGTAGTAGTAATCATGCATGACAGTTTCTTTTATTTTGATGAGTGCAGTGCTCATGTGCCAAGATTCTAAAACTATTTAGAGACTTCAGGGGCACTTCCTACATCTTATAGTATGCCATTGAGCATTTATAGAATGGACACCTTTGTTGCTCAGAATGTGTCTCCTGTGTGAGTTGATCATTTTTAAATTTTGCCTTTGAAATGACTTGTAATGATCTGAAAGATAGAGAAGAGATGCCTTGTTTTGAGATAAAGCAGCATAATGTGCTTACTTGCAGAGGTTTGTACTTCTCTAGTTGATAAATTATCAAAGTAATAATGATCTTCATTCATTGAAGACATTACATGGCCATGGAATCTCAGGCCATCAGTGTCAAGACTAGTAAAGTTTTCTGCTCATCCTTCTTTTTATAAATTTCCATGAAATCCTTCATGGGCGACAGTTATCCCACATTGCATACGTTATTCTCAAAGACAACGCCTAGGGATATTTCACAATTTTCACTAACTGAGAGTTTTATTTTATGCAAGTGCTAATATCAATAGTTTTTGGTTTATTAATGTTTAGGCTCCTTGTGAAACTTAAAGGCATACTAAAGGCAAATAACATTTTATGTCAGAGTGAATGGTCACTGCTTGAGAATGTCTAAAACATTAACATTATATGCAACAGCACTTTTGTAATAGAGAAATTGTGGTAAATGATGGTCTTTTGGGACCATCACCGGGACATTCTAGGACACTAGTATGGTGATTTAGTAGGGTCACCGTACAGTTAATGACAGGTGACAAAAAAAGTCTTTAATTGCATTACGAGACAGAATAAAATGAAATGGTTGCATTTCAGTCTAATTTATGCAAAGCAGAACTTGACGTTACCCTTGAGAAAGACGCAAGTTTTGTTTTTGCGGGGCTGTGCTTTGCTAAGACGCCTTTCTCCGCACCAACTCCTGAGCAGTGCAGGCATGTCGAATGCTTTGTCAGAAGGCCATTTTCAGAGGTGGGTGGTTTGAATTGCACTAACAGTACGAGCACAACTAAAACATGATTTCTTTTCGAACAATGCGTTTCCTTAATACGAAACGGGTGCTACGAGTTTTCTGGGACTGCTGGTTCTACATTCTATGTCAACTTAATATTTGCCTTTAGTGTCCCTTTAACTATTTGTGAAAAGAGGGAAGAACACTAGCGCTGGTCTGCTGGCTGTAAAAACGTTCTATGCCCAACTTAAAACCCTCTACAAGAAAAAAAAAAAAACGGAAGACGGCTTCCATACTGGCTTAGAGAATTGACAGTCTGCACAAGCTAAAAGAATATAGGCTATACATCTTAAACATGCAAATTTTTCATGTCATGCCATAATTACCCTTCAAAAAAATTTAAATGATAGGAGATAATGCTCTAGTGATGCATTGCACTAATTGGCAGCATCTAATGATAGTCACAGTAAGGATGCCACACTGCTAAGAATGTACAAATAGTAAATGTTAGGTTCAAGATAGAATGATGATTTTCTTAATCAATTCAAGTAGCACAAGTGTCTGCAGCCTGAGGCCCACAAGGGCGGTGTAATGCGGCCCTTGGTACGATGTCGTAATCCCTTTTCCCTTGTTACTTCCTATTGGGGGGAGGGGGGGAGCCTACGTGGTAGTTTTGACTTCAAATGGAGTTAGACAGGAACAAAGAAAGATTGTTTGCAGTTGGCATTGTTCTCTATCTTAGCATCTTATCCTAGATAACTCGTTACAATTTTTGTAAATTATGACTAATATTGTTATCTCTTGATAACATGTTAACTATCCAAATTTATTGATTATTGATAATATTTTATAATCCATTTGTCGAATTTTTTCTCTTTCCCCCTGCATCCTCCCATAACTCGCCTTCTAGCCCCTGGGGCCGTGTCAGCTTAATGAAGCTCTGCCCTTTAGCTGCACATTTGTCATGACCCAACTAACCCGCATAATATATATATATATATATATATTAAAATAGAGATGTTGTACGTCCGGAAAGCTTCAGATGCAGCTTGGCGAAAGATGCTTCATGAGGCAGGTCTGGCTACCGGCGAGCGTAGTGCGCGAGCTACTGCCATAGGCCACCAATCATCATCTTCTTCAGTAACAGCAGAGCGTCCGTGATTCAGATTCATTACAATTACTCCCCGCGAAATAAGGAGCCATCCTGGCAACCTATGGACAAGTAAACACGGGAGGGTCGTAGCAGTGCTTAAATCTCGACACGTGGACAATTTCCTGGCCACGACGACGTTGGTTAGAAGCTGGTTCTAGTGGCTAGATGAGGTAATTCACCGGTGACGTTTTTTGTAGTATACGATATGGGCCATGATACTTGGGGACCAACTTGGTAGAAAGGCCAGGTGTAACAGAAGGGACATGCAGCCAGACGAGCGAACCTGGATCGTAGGAAGTAGTGTTAATTGATGCGTCATGGTGGTGCTTTTGGCGTCCTTGGTCTTGTATTGGGAATGATCTTGCCAGTTGGTGGCATTCTTCAGCGTATGTAGCGGCTTGAGACAGAGTCGTGAACTCTGAGGAGTCAGGTCTGTACGAAAAAATGGTGTCCATAGTGCAAGAAGGTACGCGTCCATTAAGGGGAAAAACAGGAGAGAACCCAGTAGTGCTCTGCATGGCGGTATTATAAGCCAACGTGATAAATGGGAGCACTCGGTCCCAATAGGAGTGGTCTGACGAGATGTACATAGACAGCATGTCATCAAGGGTACGGTTGAAGCGCTCTGTAATTCTATTGGTCTGGGGATGATAGGCCTTGTAGTGCCGTGAACAAAGTGGCACTCACGCAGCAATGCTGTGATGACGTCTGACAAGAATACGCGACCACGATCACTCAGTAACTCTCGAGGTGCTCTATGACATAATATGATGTTGTGAAGAATGAAAGTCGCAACGTCTTTTGCTATAGACAAAGGAAGGGATGAAGTTTCGGCATACCGCGTGAGGTGGTCAACAGCAACTATGGACCAGCGGTTACCGTCTGCAGTGTTGGGAAGGGGACCATATATATTGATGCCGACACGGTCGAACGGTCGGGATGGGCATGGTAAAGGTAATAAGGTACCACTGGCGTGATGAGGGGGAGTCTTTCGTCTCTGGCACGTCGAGCAAGCCCAAACGTACTGTTGAATAAAAGGGTACATGCCATGCCAGTAATATTGGAGCCGTATGCGAGAATAAGTCTTTAGGAAACCTGCATGGACACATTGGGGGTCGTCATGAAACGTGGAACAAATTTCGGATTGCAGGTGACGTGGAATCACGAGTAGCCACTGACGTCCACCGGGTGGGTAGTTGCGTCGGTACAGCACGTCATCGCGAGTGGTGAAGTGCTCGACTTGCCGACGCAACGTGCGAGAAGGGGGAGAAGCCGTCCGCCCAGTCAGGATGTCTAGAATCGAAGCAACCCGAGGGTCCTTGTGTTGCTCATATGGCATGTCGGCGATGGTGACGGCAGTGGCATCACAGATGAGACTTTCGCAACAGGCAGGGTCAGGGGGTAGGGGCAAATGGGAGAGGGCGTCTGTGTCCGAATGTTTGCGGCCGGAGCGATAGACCACGCGAATATCATATTCTTGAAGGCGTAGCGCCCATTGGGCGAGGCGACCGCTTGGATCCTTTAGTGACGACAACCAGCAGAGGGCGTGGTGGTCGGTCACGACGTCAAAAGGGCGCCCATACAGGTAAGGTCAAAATTTCTCTATCGCCCAAATAATGGCGAGGCATTCCTTTTCAGTGATGGAATAGTTGGTTTCGGCTTTGCTAAGAGTTCAGATTGCGTAGGCAACCACATACTCTTTGAAGCCGTCTTTCTGCTGCGCAAGAATAGCACCTAGACCGACACCACTAGCGTCGGCGTGGATCTCTGTGGGTGCCGATGGGTCTTGTGTCGCAGAATAAGCGGCGACGTGAGTAGGCGGCGCAGGTCATTGAAAAAATCATCACAGGTGGCAGACCAGGCCAAAAGGTCTCTAGAGCCGGCGTGGAGCTTGGTCAAAGGAGCAATGATCGTCGCGAAATTGCAGACGAAACGCCGGAAGTAGGAGCAAAGGCCTATGGAGCTTTGGAGCTGTTTCATGGTGGTCGGTTTGGGAAACGCGGAAACGGCTGTAAGTTTGGCAGGGTCAGGAAGAATGCAGTCCTTCGAAACTACGTGGCCAAGTTTCGAGCGGCGAAATGGCACTTCTTCAGATTTAGTTGCAGCCCCGCGACGGAGAGACAAGCGAGGACTTTCTCGAGCTGGCTTAAATGGGTTGTGAAATCATTAGAAAAGACGACAATGTCATCTAAATAACAAAGACAAATGTTCCATTTGAGGCCTCAGAAGATAGCGTCCATCATTCGCTCGAAAGTAGCTGTTGCGTTGCAGAGGCCGAAGGGTATGACTGTGAGTTCGTACAGCCCGCCGGGCGTGATGAAAGCTGTTTTTTCGTGATAGGCGTCTGCCATTGGTATCTGCTAGTATGCAGAGCACAGATCTAAAAAAGAGAAAGATTCAGCTCCCTGTAGGCAGTCCAAGACAATGCATGGCAGCGAATAGACATCCTTACGCATGATTCGGTTGAGATGTCGGTAGTCCACGCAGAACCTGAATGGATCCGTCCTTCTCCACCAGCACAACTGGAGAGGCCCAGGGACTGCTTGAAGGTTAGATTATGTCACGTTTCAGCATATCGTTGACCTGTTCATTGATCACACGGCATTCGGCTGTTGACACACGATATGGACGCTGTCGTATTGGTGTCTTTTGACCGGTATTTATACGGTGAACAACAGATGACGCTCGACCTAAGGAAGGCTGATTGTGGTCAAAGGAATTTCAAATTACTCGAGGAGCTTGATCAGCTGTTCCTGCTGCCCAGGCGTGAGGTGGCTATCAATAAACTTGCGGAATACATCCATAGGGTCATTGGCGTCAGTTGCGGGTGTAATGGCACAAGTCGGTAAAAATGGCTTGTCTGGATACATCGGGTCTTCAAAATACAATCTAAAGTCTCGAGGCTCCCCAGACACTCGCCGCGTAGCAGGATATATGGACAAGCAGAGACATTGCACGCATAAAGTATTGCCAAACCGTTGGAAAAGCTGATGACTGCATACGGGAGAACAATGGTTCGGCAGTGCGCACTAGCTATAGATGGTTGGAACAGGAGCGTCGAGTTTGTGGCAGCGGGGGAAATTACAGGCACTAGGACGGAGGACAAAGGCGCAATGCGGACATCAGCTGCGGTAAACACTTTCGAGGGACTGTGGTGGTCGATATCAAGACACGGATTCGTCAACGTGAGTCCAGTACGAGCGCAGTCAACGAGAGCCCGATGAGTAGAAAAGAAATCCCATCCTAGTATGATGTTGTAAGATGAACGTGGAAGAACAACAAACTTGACGGCGTACCAAACATCTTGAATAAGCACACTTGCTGTGCACTGAGCCGTCGGCGTGACGAAATGGCAGGTGGCTGGCTGTAAGCAGGGCAAGATTCATAAGCGGCGTTGTAACTTTTCTCAAATCACAACAGTTCATCACTAATTACAGAAACGACGGCGCCTGTGTCGAAAAGTGCACATACAGCAACACCTTCTACTAGCGCATCAATTTCATTGGGCGGACAAAGAGGAGGTCTTGGAGAGTTCGCCGATGATGCAGTTCTTGCTTCCAGAACTGTGGCTGTCAGTTTTCCTCTCGAGCGGGGCTCGTACGCCGAAGCATCGGGAGAGACAGATCGGTGACGGGGCGGTAATGACTGGCGAGAGTCGAGAGGGCTTCGTGGGGACGAGTCGGCGATAGGGGAAGATGGTCACTGGGGGATCTGGGCAGCCTGGTAATTTGCCGAATTCCCACGGTCCAGATGCTGGAAGTTGCGTTGGTGACAGTAGCGTACTATATGTCCCACAAAACCGCATGCAAGACAGATGGGTCAATTATCGAAGGTGCGCCATGGGTTAACGACAGAAGGTGCAGGGGGCGTAGTAGGATGGGGTGTCGTGTATGTAGGCAACGTCGTAGGGTAGGAGGACCCGGTGCTTGGTATGCATCAGATACAGGTGGGGCTGGTGGTCTAGCAACAGCGGCAGCGTAGGTCAGCGGCGTAGGGATAGACGGCGATGGCCGCAGTGCCTGCGTGACCTGTGTCTCAATAACCTGGCGTAGACGTGGGTCTAACGAGGTCACTGGCTCAGATGCTTTGGTCACAAGAGAAAGTTGACGCGCAACATCTTCACGGATGAATTGTTTGATGTGGGGCAGTAAGACGGTGTGATCAGCAGCGACGTGGTGCACGAGGGCGGAAACTTCGGCTGTATTTTCAGCGGCCCTGCGCGTCGAGACACGTTGCTTACACAACTCGTCGTACTCCTGACAGAGCTGGACAGCATCGGTGATGGTCTGTGGGTTCCTAGCGACAAGCATCTGAAAAGTATCGTCATCAACTCCTTTGATGGTGTGCTTGATTTGGTCATGTTCGGTTAAGGATGCATCGACGCTCTTGCAAAGAGACAAGACATCTTCGAGGTAACTTGTAAAGGTCTCGTCCCTGCGTTGGACGTGACTACGCGGATGCTGTTTTGCGCGAAGCCAACGCACGGCGGGACGTTCGAAGACCGCGGCGATGGTGGTCTTGAAGGCGGACCAGTTGGTGATTTCGTCTTCGTGGTTCTTGAACCAGAGGCTGGCCACATCAGCGGGGTAAAAGGGCACTTTCGTGAGCTGGTCGCAGTTGTTATTTGTTGGAAGTGCTTATGATTTCGTACTCGATGAGCCAGTCCTCAACGTCATGTTCGTCGTCGCCGGGAAAAATAGGTGGGTCGCGTTGCCGAGGCACGCCAGTACAGAAGACTGTCATTGGGGGGGGGGCAGCTGGAGATGGGCCAGAAGCAGTCATGGTGAACGGTGAGGGTAGCGTCCGATTGCGAAGCTCCAGGTTGATGGGAACCCCAGCTCCTCCACTACTTAAAATAGAGGTGTTGTACGTCGAGAAAGCTTCAGACGCAGCTTGGCGAAAGATGCTTTATGAGGCAGGTCTGTGTACCGGCGAGCGGTGTGCGCGAGCTACTGCTACAGCCGTTGATCATCATCTTCTTCTTCAGTAACAGCAGAGCGTCCATCATTGATATTCATTACAATATATATTTTTTCAATTGGAACAATGTGTGTGTGAAAGCAAGCTTATAAGATTGTATAACTAGCTTTAAAGCCTAAGAAAGGTCGCGGTTCCATCGTAAAGGTGAAGCAATGAATGCGATAGCAAAAAAATTTAGATGCCATACAAAGAACGACAAGCAGCTCAGTACATGTAGCACGCCCCTGAAGTACAAAGGAAGCTTGATAAAAATGCGAGCATATACACAAGACAGGCGTGCGCTAATAACTGTCACAGTTGTTACGTCTGTGTTTGAGCAACGCGCTGAAAATGTCGACAATGCAGAACCTAATGTTCTTAAATATTTCTTTTCTTTTTTTTTACTGTGGCACATGAAGTGACTCCTCAGCGTCTCCTGCCATGCAGTGGCGTCTGACCCAAGGTGTACCCGGCATTCTTTTTCTTTTTTCTATATAACGAGTGGACGCAGAAAGGGGCCATTCTTTAATAAGCGTATCAAGGGCAGTTCTCACGTTGAAAGAAAACGAGCGTTTCGTGATATAAAATACGCTTGCACTCCTTCCAGATCTGCGTACCACCAGCGGTAAATGGCGTGTATGAGTAGATCATCGTTACTACACCAGAACCCTCGTGGTGCATGGTCGAGCTGTCTAACATAGCGCGCTTTAGAGCAAGTATTGCAAATGAGCAAGAGGTCACCGGTTCGAATCCTCGGTCGGGTGTTTCATAATTTTTCTTCTGGTTTAGTTTTTTTGTTGTGCCTTTTTTTTTATGTCGGGCATGAAGGTGGCGGCAAAAATCTGAGATTGTCCTTATAACTGCTATCTCAATGAAATAATAGATGTGAGGGTAATATCTCCATGGATATATTACCCTCACATAGACATATTACCCTCATATTATTACTCATAAATAGATTTAACCATAAGTGAAGCTTTGCAACAGTGTGCAAATTTAATTAGTGTTTTCATTGCATAGCACTCCTACGCAGCAGTGAAAGCACCTTCATAGGGGGGTTACATGCGGTTTCATTTATGCTTGTTTGTTCGTTTCGAATACCTTGAAATTTAGCATTTTAATTTATGGTTGAAACATATTTGAATGCTTTAATATTTGCAAATTCTACACACAGCCATGGAGCTTTTCCTTGTTTATATTTGGCCACACTGTGATTAATTCTATTTATTGTATTTACTCCTGCTATTTACTCCCAGAAAACATTTTCGGGCACTGAGGAACTCTCACAGCAATAGCCTGGCCATATTAGTTGGACAGTAGATCATTATTTGTGGGTTTGACTGCATGTGTGATAGCACATGCAGCCATGGAGCTTTTCTTGTTTTCTATATTTGGCCACACTGTGATTAATTCTATTTATTGTATTTACTCCTGCTATTTACTCCCAGAAAACATTTTTGGGAACTGAGTAACTCTCACAGCAACAGCTTGGCCATATTAGGTGGACCGTAGATCATTAATTGTGGGTTTGACTGCATGTGTGATAGCACATGGCTGTTGTGTCTCTAATCATTTCATGTGTCATTAGAAACTGCTTTGATTGTTTCAGCTCTCTTGAATGTGAACAGGCATTAATTGTAGCGAAACAGCCATTGGGACTAGTTGGTAGCGGTTCATTATGGAAGATAGAAGTGGGGCACAGTACGTAACACGGACTGGAGGAGAGAACAACACAAGGCATTGTTTGCCGAAGTGCTCACTAGTGTTAGTGTAGTCTCTTACCATCTGATGAATTTGCGTATGCATTGCCAATGCTGCTTTCTTCTGTTCCAGTGTACTAGATGAAGAAATTTTCAACGCATGTCGTGGCCTCACAGCACACAAGTAAGTGGTGAACTCATATGAATTGCTGAAGCAACCAACATCACACTACTTGCTGAAGTCCTTGTGATTACAATTATTGCTCCTGCATTCCTGATTATCCTTGGCTTCCAGGCTCACTTAGTTTGGTTTATAGATGAAATAGTCTCTAACTACTTGGCATACTGTTGTGAAGTTGTCTAGCAATGGTAGCATGTGGTCGAGAGAGCAAGGCTGACGACCCGATGTAGCCAAAGAAGGGCCTTCGCTCAGGAGCAGAACATCGAGGCAAGTTTTCAGCAAAACAAAAGTAACTTTTAAAGCAGGTAAAGTTTCTTAATACAAAGCCTTCGAACATGACAAAGTCGGTTGGTGTGATCCCTTTAACTGGGGACTGAGCCTTAAATATACAGTTATAGTTTACCGTTAGCGTGATAGCGGAGGTTAAGGAAATGGCGTTACCATGTAGCAAATATTCAATGTGAACAGCGTCTTATAGTTTAGCAGGATAGCGTTCACGTGGTTTACGGGCCCCAGCTGGGATAGTGGCACCACCTATCCATGATTAATTAGTTAATGCAATGAAAAAAAAAAAAAAACGAGAATGTTTGTCTATGCCACCTTACGAAGCATTGTTACAAGTTTATTTTAGTAATAAAAGTAAATAAATATGAACCGCACGCCAAATGTTAAAATAATAATGTTGCGGACTTCTTTACATCGATCTTGTAGTTAAGCCTAGACTCGTTCGAAACGGGAAGCTAGCTCAAAAACTACGCCAACTTATCCGTAATTTTTGGAATTGAAGCTAACTGAGGGCAAGTGAAACCACTTTAAACAGTCGTTTACTGCGAACAAAGTGAACCTTTTAACAACTCCACTAAAATCACTTCGAAGCAGGCGTCCGAGAGTGCCGCCATGTTGTACGTACACTTACGCTACCACAGTAACATTAAATCTGAAAAATAGCGTACAAACGGTAAGCGGTACGGGTAACGTATCTCTCTGCGGACGAGCACTTCTATCCCGCTATCACGGTAAGCCCAGTATACTATAACTGTCTAATAACTTTTAATCTGTTGCATCATGTTTTTTTCACTGCACCTGGGGCGTAGTCCACATTAGGCACCTATGTAGGCGGTGCATTAACTGATAATTGTGAAGCAGGCATGACATTACCCAGCGCTGAGAGGGAAAGTACAAAAATTCAGAATCTCGCTTCAGAACAGATATCCAACTTTTATCGAGGAAGCTGGCCTTAGAATTGACGCAATGAATGATAATCTGACAAGTATCATTATGGAGTGCGTAGTGGAAGTTGAATGTACGGTAGTTAGACAGGACACTAGCAAGCTGTCCCAGGAAATGAAGAACCTCGTTAAGAACTGCCAAGGCATGAAAGCCTCACAAACGAACAACAAAATAGAACTGGCAGAGCTTTCGAAGTTTCTTAAAAAGCATAAGGTATCCAATGTAAGATGATATAAAATAGAAAAAATTGAGCCTGCTTGAAATAACGGAGGAAGCGTCGAAGCGATGATCAGGAAACTCGAATTCAATTTGCTACTCCTCGACTAGCTTCTACACTAGCTAAGGAGGGAAGGTGTTTGAGGTTCGGAACAGGTGCCCCTTGATGACTTGAGTGCTCGGTGACAGCATAAAGGAAGAGACGTAGTTCGGTGAAGAGATGCTTTATTGCAGCACTCAGGCGTTTGCCCGCGTCCAAGCTTGAACACCGCTTCCCATATCACATCCAAACACCCTCTTTTTAACCCTCGGTCAAACAAAGGGTCTCCGCACAAGCCAATCACACGTGGTGCCTTGCATCACCACAGCCAATTGCAGGAACACATTCATAACAGACACTGCATTGGTAAAGAGCACGTTACCCAAATGCAACATGCGAGGTAATAGGTACTGCCCCACCGCAGTGGTCTAGTGGCTAAGGTACTCAGCAGCTGACCCGCAGGTCGTGGGATCGAATCCCGCCTGCAGGGGCTGCATTTCGGATGAAGGCGGAAACGTTGTAGGCCCGTGTGCTCAGATTTGGGTGAACATTGAAGAACCCCAAGTGGTCGGAATTTTTGGAGCCCTCCACTACGGCGTCTCTCATAATCATAAGGTGATTTTGGGACGTTAAATCTTACATATTATTACATATTATCTTACATATTTCAACGCTTCAGTTGAAAGCTTCTATGAAAACGTGGAATCGGCAATGAGTAAGGTAAAAACACAGTATACTATAGTGATGGGCGACTTTATTGCAAAGGTAGGGAAGAAGCAGGCTGGAAACCAGGCAGTAGGAGATTATGGCATCGGCACTAGAAACGCCAGAGGAGAGCTACTAGTAGAATTCGCAGAATGCAATAATTTGCAGATCTGAAATGCCTTCTACCGAAAACGAGAAAATCGCAAGTGGACATGGAGAAGCCCTAATGGCGAAAATAAGAACGAAATAGGCTTTATAATGACTGCACACCCAGGAATCGTGCAAGATGTGGAAGTGGTTGGCAAGGTACAATGCAGTGACCATAGAATGGTACGGTCTCGAATTCGCCTAGACTTGAAGAAGGAACGACAGAAACTGATACGCAAGAAGCCAATGAATGAGCTAGCACTGAGAGGGAAAGTACAAGAATTCAGAGTGTTGCTGCGGAACAGGTACTCGGCTCTTAGTGAGGAAACCAACCTTAGCGTACATACAATGAATGATAATCTGACGAGTATTATTATGGAGTGTGCAGTGGAAGCTGGAGGCAGGGTAGTTAGACAGGACACTGGCAAGCTTTCCCAGGAAACGAAGAATGTCATTAAGGAGCGTCAAATCATGAAAGTCTCAAGTACAACAGACAAAGTAGAACTGGCAGAGTTTTCGAAGTTGATTAATAGGCGTAAGGTATGCGATGTAAGAAGGTATAACATGGAGAGAATTGAACACGCTCTGAAAAACGGAGGAAGCGTCAAAGCAGTGAAGAGGAAACTTGGCATAGGCAAAAACCGGATGTATGCACTAAAGGACAAAGAAGGCAAAATAACTACCAATATGGATAGGATAGTTAAAATAGCGGAGGAGTTTTACAGAGATCTGTACAGTAGCCGGGATAACCACGACCTTAATACTATAAGAACTAGCAGTAACCCAGATCACACTCCACCAGTAATGATTGAAGAAGTCAGAAAAGCTTTGGAGAGCATGCAAAGAGGCAAAGCTGCTGGTGAGGATCAGGTAACATCAGATCTGCTGAAAGATGGAGGACAGATTGTGTTAGAAAAACTAGCCACCCTGTTTACGCGGTGTCTCCTAACGGGAAGGGTACCGGAGTCTTGGAAGAACGCTAACATCATCTTAATACATAAGAAAGGAGATATCAAGGACTTGAAGAATCACAGGCCGATCAGCTTGCTCTCTGTAGTATACAAGCTATTTACAAAGGTAACTGCTAACAGAGTAAAGAAAGCATTAGAATTCAATCAACCAAAGGAACAAGCAGGATTTCGAACAGGCTACTCAACAATCGACCACATTCATACTATCAATCAGGTAATAGAGAAATGCTCAGATTATAACCAACCACTATACATAGCCTTCATAGATTACGAGAAGGCGTTTGATTCAGTAGAAATATCAGCCGTCATGCAGACACTGCGGAATCAGGGCGTAGATGAAGTATATATAAACATTCTGGAAGAAATCTACAGGGGATCAACTGCTATCATAGTGCTTCATAAAGAAAGCAACAGAATACCAATCAAGAAGGATGTAATGCAGGGGGACACAATCTTTCCAATGCTATTTACCGCGTGCTTACAGGAGGTTTTCAGAAGCCTAGAATTGGAACAGTTAGGGATAAGAGTTAATGGAGAATACCTTAGTAACCTGCGCTTCGCCGATGACATTGCATTGCTGAGTAACTCAGGGGACGAATTGCAAATCATGATTACGGAGTTAGACAAGGAGAGTAGAAAGGTGGGTCTTAAAATTAATCTGCAGAAAACGAAAGTAATGTACAACAACCTCGGAAAGGAGCAGCGCTTCGAGATAGGTAATAATGCACTTGAAGTTGTAAAAGACTATGTCTACTTAGGGCAGGTAATAACCGCAGAGCCGAACCACGAGATTGAAGTAACTAGAAGAATAAGAATGGGATGGAGCACATTCGGCAAGCACTCTCAAATTATGACAGGTAGATTGCCACTATCCCTCAAGAGGAAGGTATATAACAGCTGTATCTTGCCGGTACTTAGCTACGGAGCAGAAACCTGGAGACTTACAAAGAGGGTTCAGCTTAAATTGAGGACAACGCAGCGAGCAATGGAAAGAAAAATGGTAGGTGTAACCTTAAGAGACAAGAAGAGAGCAGAGTGGATTAGGGGACAAACGGGGTTAAGGATATCATAGTTGAAATAAAGAAGAGGAAATGGACATGGGCCGGGCATGTAGCGCGTAGACAGGATAACCGCTGGTCATTAAGAGTAACTAACTGGATTGCCAGAGAAGGGAAGCGGGTTAGGGGGAGACAGAAGGTTAGGTGGGCAGATGAGATTAAGAAGTTTTTGGGTATAAATTGGCAGCAGCAAGCATAGGACCGGGTTAACTGGCAGAACATGGGAGAGGCCTTTATCCTGTAGTGGACGTAGTCAGGCTGATGATGATGATTATTATTATCATGAGGTAATAGGTTCTCTGCCCAACGCCTGTTGTCACACTCTACCCCATGTCAACCCGTGTGTCGGCTGACTTTTGTTGGTAGGTGTTTTTAAAGCCAGACACACTTAGACTCAATCTCGCTAAAATCTCTCTCGCTCAACTGGACTCACTCAGATTAGCGGCTCAATCTGAGTTTGAGTTAGTAATAATGAGTCCAGTCCCGTTTTGTTGACCTATGGCGACTTGCATCGACTGCCGCTGGGCATAGAGTTTCCTAATATACACTAGAGGGAACTGTCTATGGGAACTGCAAAGCACGGCGCTTCAGCGAGCATGGGAATGATGGGTAGTACACAGATTTGTCTAATCTTCG